ATTTATTTGCAATGCATCTGAAGAATTTCAGAGAATATGAGAATTGTTCCAAAATATTCTTGGTTCATGAAGCTGTGTCTTGGTTCATCAGAGCCTGGACTGGACTCCTAACATCGAGATAAACAGACTCAGAAGAGACCTTCTGAAAAGATTGCTGATTATAGTCCCTTATTATAGACTTGAAAAAAAAAATAAAGAAAGTCTTTGACTTTTCAGGTTCAGACAGTAGCAGCAAATTGGACCTAGGTGTCCTTCCTCAGTCTTTCATGCCTGAGGATCCAGCTGGGTGTGAAAAGTTCCCATAATGTGTTGGCTCAGGTGGACAATTTAATTAAATATCAAAGGACAGTTGTCATTAAATATCAAAAAGGGAGAACACTGGGGTATATATCATTAAGGGAAAATAAGGAAACCAATTTTTTTTTTTTTTGCAAACAAACCAGCTGCACAAATAATAAAAATAGAGTTTTGTCCTATTGCATATTTACTGGGACAAATGTCCATTGACTATAAAACTTGGGATAAGCTCAGTAGTATTATTAGTGTTCTCATTTTAGAATTAAATCTTAAAAATCACATGTTTTCTTCAAAATCATCATTATGATTGTGAGTTAAAATTTAATGTTAAGTTATAAAACTGCATACACATTACGAAGTTTCTGAAAGTACTTGTTTTCCTGTGGGTCATTTGAGTGATGCCAGGAGAATATTTCTTGTCCCTACATTTCTTTCTCACTTGTCTTCCTGGTGCTAAAGTTTTTAATCAAGGATTATGATCATGGTGGACAGCTGAAGGGACCTCAGGGATAGACAGTGGCTTGTCAGCTTGAATTACTTATTGGGGCTCTAGTAGAGAAGAGGAACCTGATAGGATGGGTCATAGAATGAGTAAGTTTCGATGTAAGCAGGAAAAAATACCAGTGAAGGGAACTCTGCATCATGATATGGACAAAACAGAATGTTTTTAAAAATGAGAATGTTCACGGAAAGGATAGTAGAAGCTGTTGAATAATAATATTGACTAGCCCACAATTCTGTGTGGAATGTGCTCTGATGGCTAATAATATAAACTGGCTTTGGGTATTTTTCTTTTCAATAACAACACACTTATTACATTTACATGGTGCTTTACAGGTTATCAAGCACAGCCATAGCCATTACTTCATTTAAGTGACGCTCTCCATTAGCCAGGTCAGCTACTTGTGGCTCCCTTTTTGGAGACAGTGAAATTGAGGCCCAGGGTTCTTAAGTGATTTGTCCGAGGTTATAAAACAGTGTGTAGGCAAGCTAAGATGGGAACTTGCATCTTTTGGTTCTGAATTCGGTGTTTTTTTTCCTCCCATGTCATATTGGGCAGGGACAAGAATTTTATGCTTCAGAGTCAGATGACCCAGGCTTGAACTTGTCACTCTTTTTTTTTTTTTTTTTTTTGCCAGCTGCGTGACCTTGGACACGTTACTAACTGTTCTGAGTCTCAGTTTCTTTATCTCTAAAAAATAAGAAATAGTAATAATACCTACCCTATAGGATTGTTGTGAAGATTCCTTTAGGTCAATCAAGCAAAGCAGCCAGCTTAATTCCTGGCACAGGGTAGGTACTCAATACATAGAGCTATAAACTCTTGGAAAAGATACCTACTGCCCGGATTTCATAAACTTTTCCTACATTTAGAGGTGAAATGAAGAATCAGGGCAATTTCCAGTTTATTCAATGATACCATGTTTTCTTGGTTTACTTCAATTCCTGAAATTATCTCCTGTGAAAATGTGTGTCGTGTGTGTGTGAAGGCCCCTTGCACGTCTTGGGGTACACGTGTGCACACATACCCATCAGTAGTGGTATGCATGCGTTGGGGGTACAGCGTGGTTCTCTGTGTTTCTGGGCTGTGTTGAACCAGATGGAGTGACGGAACGTAGAGCATCTCTCTGCTGCAGATAATTGCAAACTGGATCACACAATCTTAAATCTAACCCAACCAGCTTGATCCTGGTTCAGTCACTGAACCTCAGAGCGCAGGCTCTGGGCTCTCAAAGTATCTGGATGATACACATGTTCTTAGTTTGGTGGCTGAAAGGTTTGGGTAACTCCCTTTAGCAGACAAAACTACGGACTCATAAAATTACATTGATTTTTGAGTATACTTTATTTATAATTATTCTTTCTTGAAATCTTTTAGAATCACCTTGGTTAAAATCATTACACAAAATAATCTTCACTGTATTTATTATATATGGCACAGAATAATTTAACACTTTATAAATATGTTTCATTGATGCACAAATGGGAGAAGCACCCTTTGCCAAGAGCAGTACAGTAACTTAGTTCAATTTGGCTACAGTAGCACTTTAAAAAATGACCATGAGATGGCACTGTGGCCAAGTAGATTAAGTATGTCTAAACTGAGTGTTTCCCCTAACTATATGGCATTTAATTCCTTTCTTTAAATATAGAAGAATCTACTGTTCAACTTAAAGCATTGATTAGGAGTGAGTCCTTTAATCACAGATCCATATATCGTTCAAGCACTGTGTCTCATTGGGGTAGGGCGGGGGTGTTTTGAAAGCCTTAGTAGTCAGAAAGTCCCCAGATGGAAAAAGGGTCCGAAAGGGTCCACCATTTTATTTAAGATCACTCAGCTATTAAAAAGACCACTGTTTTCACCACCCTCATAGAATTGTGTTAAAGTCTTCCCACAAAATTAGGTGAACTTCCAGTTTATTTAAAGAGCTGATAATTCTGTTACATTTTAATCTGCTTTGACAGCAATGGAAGGTCGTAGAAATGTCAGAACATGAATTCACATTTTAATTGACAGGATACAAACATGCAAACATGTGTATATACTGAGTGTTTTCATTAATGACTCTTGCTTTTTCTCCATATAAATATAATATAAATATCGAATAAAGTGCATGAGAACATGTCTGTACATATACACAGATACATGTTTATCTATATACACTTGAGTAGATACTTATGGAAAGAAAAAAATACACATTTGTAATATATATGTAGTCAAAAGACATTGGTCAGGCAGTATTTATGTTCATTCTGATCAAGATTGAGTAAATGGGGGTAGAATCTGTAATCTTTTCTCTAATATTTAATGCAATGTGCAGAGTTATAAACTATGGCAAAATACTTTAGAGCAGAGATTTTTTAACATTTGTATTTTTCTCAGTTAGTATGGTATTATCATTAAAGTGGTTCAGGTCAAATGCAGCCTTGGTATAAGTGGTTTGCTGTAAATTCTAGCTTTGAAATACATACCTTTCAGCATACCTATAAGAATTAAATTGGATAGCCTTAAGCATTTCCAAATTACACAGTGGCATCTCCCACATTCTTCACTTTTCAAATCTACAATATTTTTCAAATGGCTTAGAGCAAAAAAACTATTTTTCATTTAATAGAAATGCTTCAGTGTTGTAATCTCATATCATCTAACATCTATTTTAGTAAGAATGTGTAATTTAATCCAGAGGAATATCAAGGTGAATTAACTACTGTTAAACTTTTTCTCTCTTTAGCAAACTTTTCTACAAAACACTGTATTACTGCTCTTTTTTAGGGAGTCCAGTGTCAGTGAGTAAGAAATAAATCAGATTTTTAGGGAAGTAAAACAGAAATTTTCCTTGAAACTTTGGTAGTGACAGGTTGGGTCCAGGTTGTGGTGTATTTCTAAACTAACTGCAAATTTTGACCTCCTACTGTATCCCCCACCTCGCTCACTTGGTGGGTATTTATTGGCAACCAGTGAAAACTACCCTCAGAGTCGAAACAAGCCTTCTTCTGAACGAAGTAAGAAGAAAACAGTTTGAACCAATTCTCAAAATGTCTGTTAATCAATATTTCTGACAAGGACCATTCCAGTTAGGTCATTTTCTTCAAAGGCAGGAAAACTGTTTAATTCTTTTAATATCCTCCGTACCTGGGGCATTTCTTCACAGACAGTATAGACCCAGTAGATGATTATGAGACCAAAGCTGAACAGTTTTAGTAAAGAATATAGATTGATTGATCTGAAAACATCAATTTACCTGATGGGTGCCAAGAGGAAAGCCACCTGCATTTTACAGAGACGTCCTAAGGTTCTGCTGCTGTCAGTAGCCAAAAACCTGAGTTTATTCCTCAATCTTGACACAGTTACATCAATACTGCTTACTGCTCAGAAGAGCGCATGCACGGTGTGGTCGTCAAAGAGCGAGTTACCAAACACTGCTATGGTGCTGTTCAGGAGAAGCAGTTTCTAGAAACGTATTTGGTAATGTTAAATTATCCTTTTGATAGTTTACCTAGTAGAACAGACACTACACAAGACCACATTGGAGATTCAGAATAAAGCACAAATAGTAGAAGAGAAAGCAGCAGTAGTTATTAAATAACATTTTAAAACCTTTTCACTTCTGAGAAGAATTAGCTTGAAATGCAGCAAATGCCAGCAACTTTGTGAATATTTCCAAATGACATCTGAAAAAGTCGTCAAGTATTTCATTTAATTATCTTAGTAATATGGATTTTGTAACACTGTCCTTAGTGTCTTTTTTTGTTGTTGTTCAAAATATGTAACATAGTAAGTTTTAAAGAAGATTTTTCTTCAAGAGGTCATTATATTATATTTAACCAATTTTCACTAGTTATAGCTATTGTTATTTACAGCAATAGGTAACCAACTCATGCCGTGAATTAACAACAGAGTAGTAAGATTTCCACTTGAAATAGAAGGTAATTTAGACTTATTTATGGCCTCAGTATAATTATACAATAAAAGCTAATTATTTTAAAGACATATCATTTACAATGTTAAAAATAAGTATCATAAAGCTCACAGCTGAAATGCTGTCAGAACATTTTTGAAGTGCACATTTTGTGTCATTTAACCCTGCTTTTTTTTTGTTTTTTCATTGACAGAATAAAATGAGGCATATAAATATTTTTGTTGGTTCTACTAGACTGGCCTGATTTTTTTTCCAGTCTCCCTATTTTCTTTTTTTTTTTTTCCCCCAGAATAGGTGAAAATTTGCCTAGTGTGCCCTCCGTGGTTGCTATGGCAACCAGTCTCTCACACACAGCTAACCTTTTCATTCACTGTGTTAATATTGTCTGTAGGAGCATCTTCTGAATGCTGTTTTCCTAGAGCAACCATACTGTAGTCATTATCTGTGCTCTTGGCATCTTTCTTGGAATTCTTTTTTTGTCCTATTTGGAGCTGACTAGATTTGTAGGCCAAGGCCGGTATAGTGTTCACTAAAATTAACTGCAGTGGTTTTTTATTTTCCTTGTACTGACACTGAATATACCGGGAAAAGGCTGACCTGTAGGTCTTGTTGAACAGTGTGTACACGAGTGGGTTGACCGCCGAGGAGAGGTAACCGATCCAAACAAACACGTTGAGGAGGGCTCCGATGATGTTCTCGTTGCAGGACTCTTTGCAGATGACGGCCATTATGTTCGTGATGAAGAATGGGCACCACATCACCACAAACAGAAAGAAGACGATGCCCAGCACCTTGCAAGCTTTTTGCTCGTTGCTGATGGACTGCATAGTCCTCCTGCCATAGGACCCTGGCTCCCTATGGATGGATCGCTGGAAGAGCTTTTCTGAAGACAGGGAACTCTGAGGGAGGAAGCTGAAAGACGATAGTTTGGCCCGTGTGCCAAGATCACTCACACACAGAGTAGCTTCTTTCTGGAGTGACTTGATAGTTAGAAAGTAGGTGATCACCATGATGGTTAAGGGAATGAAGAATGACACGAAAGAGCCGATCAGGACAAAGTTGTCATCCGCAAGTAAGCAGCTCCCTTCCTTAAAGACCTTGGAATCATCCTGTAGCCCGAAGACTGGTATTGGCATAGAGATACCTGGAGTTGGACAGAAAATGAGACATGCCTATGAAGGAATTGTCTACATGAGGAGCATTGCTATGTAATGGTGGCAGGCAAAGGATTCTGTATCAACATTGTTTAAAAGCTCAATATATACTTGCAGTGAGAATTTAAAATTCTCTTGGAATTACAGATATTAGGGGATTATTATATAAATTTAATATATAATTATAGTAGTGACATATATAGTTGTAATATATATATGAATATATATAAAATATATATTAACTACATAGAACATATGATTTCTTATATGTGTATGTTATATTGCCCTATAGAGATAGTCCTTTACTTCTTTTTTTTTTTTGAAGATTTTATTTATTTATTTATTTGACACAGAGAGAGAGAGAGAGAGAGAGCACAAGTAGGGGGAGCAGCAGGCAGAGAGATGGGGGGAAGCAGGCTCCATGCTGAGCAGAGACCCCGATGCAGGGCTCGATCCCAGGACCCTGAGACCATGACCTGAGCTGAAGGCAGAGGCTTAACCCACTCAGCCACCCAGGTGCCCCAGTAGTCCTTTACTTTTAAAGAAGTACAGGGGGCTCCTGGGCGGCTCATTTGGTTAAGTGTCTGCTCCTTTCCCTCTCTCTCCCCCTCTCCCGTTGCCCCTACCCCTGCTCATGCACACTGTCTCTCTCTAAAATAAATAAATAAATATTTTAAAAACAGAAGTTAAATAAGTCTAGCTTTAAGTTTTCATGCTGTATTTTTTCTGATTACAACATTATATTTATTAATTGAATAAAATACATTCACACAAAAATAAAAATGACCAGTGATGCCACCTACCATCCAGAGATAATCACCATTAACAGTATGATGCTATTTCTTTTAGATAAACACACATACACAGCATTCACACACATTTTATAATTGAATTTCATATACAGTTTCTAACTATTTTTCTCCTAACATTGTGCCATGAGTATAATTTATAAAAATGCCCTCATAAAATTGTAAGCATATTTTCTTTTCAGAAAATTTGAAAAAGAAAAAAGTAATGAATAAAGAGTACTGATATATATTCTTGCCAGCCAGGGGAAATTCCAATTTACATTTTAGGTAGTTTCTTCTTCCATTTACATGTATAAGTAAATATACATGTATATGCAGTATTTTATGTGCAGATTTAGATCTTCCTATTCCATTTAACATTCAGTCATGAACATTGCATATATTTAATTAGTTAATTATGTTTCAGATTGTAATTTAAATTCTAGTTAGTTGGCTATAATGTAATATTGGTTTCAGGAATCAAATTTAGTGATTCATCACTTATATGCAACCCCCAGTGCTCATCATAACAAGTGCCCTCCTTAATGCCCCTCACCCATATAGCCCATCCCCCACCCACCTCCTTCCATAACCCTCTACAGTTAAGAGAGAATTGCACATAATTTAAAGCATTTTTAGAAAATATGATTTTCTAGTGTGAATTTAAAGTAACTCACCAATTATATTTTTAACTTTAATTTTGATTCTTAATTTATTTATTAAATGTTTTATTTATTTATTTGACACGGGATGGGAGAACAAACACAAGTAGGGGGAGCAGCAGGCAGAGGGAGAAGCAGGCTCCTGCGGAGCAAGAAGCCCAATGTGGGGCTCGATCTCAGGACCCTGGTTTCATGACCTAAGCCGAAGGCAGCTGCTTGGCCACTGAGCCACCCACATATCCTTTAACTCTTTTTTAAAAGAAGCTTTTTGCTATCAAAAAGTTATAATATATGCAGAAAAAAAAAAGAAAACACTGAAAAACCAAACAAACCTAGCACATTGAACCCATCACCCAGCTACAACATTAGTGAACTCAAGGTCGATCTGGTTTCACCCATATTCCTACCTGCTACAACCTCTCCCATGTTATTTTTAAACAGATCCCAGACATCATATCATCCAATCTGTACATATTTTCTTATGTAGATATAAAAGCTACGTATTCTTTAAAAACCTCATATTATCACAATCCTACTCTTAAATAGAAATTTAATATTTCCTTAATATTATTATAGAATCAGTGTTCGCATTTCTAATTGTTCTATAAAAATCTTTATATATTTTTAGTTGTAGAATATTCATAACGGTGGAATACAAATAATGAGCAGCTATAGGGGCACTTGGGTGGCTCAGTTGGTTCAGCAACTGCCTTCGGCTTGGGTCATGATCTGGGGGTCCTGGGATCAAACCCCACACCAGGTTTCTGGCTGGGCCGGGAACCTGCTTCTCCCCCTCCCTCTGCTGCTCCCCTTGCCTGTGCTTTCCTGCTCTCATTCTGTCAAATAAATAAATAAATAAAAATCTTAAAAAAAATAAGATAAAACTTTTCTTGACAAATATAAGAGTTAGGTACAAGATGAGAGAAGACATGAAAATGTGAGCTCATGGTTAGTTGTTCCATCACTGAAATTTGGAGAACCCATACAGCTCCCTTAGGGACAGGGCTTAGGCAGAGGAGGGAACAAAGTGATAAAAGGAATGCTTGGCCTCTAATCCTGCTAATTTATCCCCCATGATGTAGGACCATATTTAAGGGAGCTTCACCTGGCCACTCCCACCATTGTACAATTTTTGGGGGCGGGGGAGTGCCTTCCTCTCCTGGCAATCATGTAATGCCCTAAAGGAAACATCAGGGAAATGAAGAAGGAGAGGAAACATGAATCAAATAACTAGTTTGTATAACTTAGTTTAAGATTGCTTCTTCTGTGATAGGGTAGATGCCAAAGGGCACCCTGGGAGAACATCAGAATGAAGTTTCTTTCTAATCCCTCCTTCAAAGTTGTATAATGGAGTGTCCTGCACACTGCTCCTGACCACCCTTCAGAATCTAATGAGTGGTTACAATCTAGCCAAGAACATAGGTTCAGTTCCGAGTTGGGAGCTACAGCTTGAGTCTTGTTACCCATCTGGAAGAACTTTCAGGCTCTATAATCTAATTTGTGCATGCTTGGGACAGTTCGGCTCTACCCAACCATAGGCCCAACTGTCCTAACCTCGTTTCCCCTCACACTGGCCGTCCTTGCAAGGAGGAGGACGTGAGCTTGGGTTAATACAATGTTTAACTCAAAGCTTTCTCAGTGGCATTTACCATTATCCTCACAGACTTCATTGACTGTATTTGTCACTTGTCCATGCTAGGCCATCCCAGTATTCTTGGAAGGCGGAGATAAATGACACCAGAGCTGGTCTTAAGGACACTTCGTGTGGTTAATGACTCTTCATTTCTGTTATTCCTCTCTGTCCCAGCCTGTTGATAACATTCTGTGGGCCAGGAAGGGATGGAAGGACTATGACTCCAAAGGGAACATCCTCTCAGACTCTGGACACACACCAGTTTTGTTTAACCTTCAGAAAACTTTTGGTCATAAAAGTTAAGAAATGGTTTCTAAGATGACTGTTTTGTCCTCCAAGTGTTTGAACGTGTATCTGTGAACTGTGTTTCCTGTATTCATCTACAAGGTTCTACAGTGCAGTTGTTCAGTGTAGTTGACTAGAATGGAAACTTTGGAATGAGACAGACCTGGATTTGAGTCTTGGTCCTGGCTCTGTGCTGCTCGGCTGGTTACTTCATCCCCACAGTTCCTCATCTATCATATGAGGTTGGCACCAACATGCCTTCAAAGATGTGGGAAGGATAAAATGAATCCAATATGCAAAGCACCTAGGACAGTCCTTAGTCCAGAGTGGATGTTCTGCCAATGGTAGATAAACATGGGAGTAGCCTTCTCCACAGAATTATTCAAATTGAATACATTAACTTGATTTTGTTCTATTTTGTCTTAAACCAAAAGAAGTTAAAAAGTTTTGGCTATTGGCTACATTTTAATAATGATGTAATTATTAGCTTCTGCCAGGGTGACAAAGGGCCTCAATCAATTTTAATTCTGTGCTTGCTGCTAGAACTGTTGATCGCTTTTCTAATGTGATGAATTGCAGCCATTACTATTAGTCACGATAACGCATAAACAAAAATCAACTGTGTGAATAAAAGGTGTATTATTTTGTTTTTAAATGCTTGGGTATGCATTTTCTTTATGCAAAAGAAGTCGCTACCTTGAGAGTCTTTTGCCCTATTTGTTTGCAACCTGGTGATTTATGTAAGTGGCAGTTCTCAACCAGAATAAGCTATTACTTAAAACACCAAGCTATTACTTAAAAATTCTTCAATCATTTGGAAATCAGATGAGTGTCCTTGTTTGGGAGAAAACACATGTACCCCCCCCCCAACACACACCCCTCTCCAGAATGGCTCAACTTCTGTGGACAGGGATGGAAAGGGATGACGGAGCCATCTTACTGAGGTAGAGATTCCTTTTAGCTGCCAGGGATAAAGAGTCATTTTATTTTATTTTTTAATGATTTTATTTATTTGTCAGAGGACGAAAGAGAGAGAGAGAGAGAGAGAGAGAGAGAGAGAGCACAAGCAGGGGGAATGACAAGCAGAGGAAGACTGCCCACTGAGCAAGGGGCCTGATGTGGGACACAATCCCAGGATCCTGAGATCATGACCTGAGCTGAACACAGACACTTAACCGGCTGAACCACCCAGGCGTCCCTAAAGAACCACTTTAAAATGGATATGGCAAGAAGGCACAGGCAGGCTGTCTGGAAGGGGGTTCTTGATTTGGAGGAGAAGAATCAAACTAGTTTGTTTTTTAAATGGTCCATTCCTCTTTATGTATAACAAAAATGTCCTAACTACAGTCATATACCATTCTTTCTCAGTGCCTCACTGCTAGTAAAGGGTCAGCGAGGGTTTATAGAAAGAATATCTAGAGAGTTAGAACAATACACTGTAAAAGAGGGGAAAGAATTTTACGTCAAAGAACTAGAACATTTAGGGAAGCTTTGTGAGTACAAGAAGCAGTTCAAAAACATTCTTCTACCAAGAGAGAGGAAGACGCTGGCTCACAGCCAAGGTAGCGGTCATAGCCATCTGCAGTGCATTAATTTTCTGGCTGCTTTGTTTGATAATAGCT